GACCAGGATGGATAGGGGTTTGGATGTTACTGCTCAAGCCTACCCATCTTCGTATTCTCCCTCTTACGCTTTTTAACTCTTAACGTCCCGTTCCAGCTTCACTTTTATTCCCCCCTGTTTTCAACCCCCAAAATTCTTGACTCCCCACTTGCTTTGATAGGCTTTTAGTTTCAACTCACATGTGAACGCGGAGCGTCACTCATCTCCTGTCGACAAGTCCATGTTAAAGCAAGTGGCAAAGCCCAGTTCATCGGTTTCCATTTGGAGCCCCCGATCACCCTTCAGATTGGCATGCCTCAATGTACCCACATTGCTTCAGATCGCTCAACAGGCATCACTTGCCCGGACATCAGAGACCCTCTCGATCGATATCTACTGCTTATCGGAGACCCGCCTGCAACACTCGAGCTCTGTGCTCACTCTGCGATCCCCTTCAGGTGACACCAGCAGCACTTTCTCATTACGCCTATCCGGTGACGATGCAGCGTCGAGCACCGGCCAAACTGGTGTTGACATTGCCCTGAGTCTCCGGCCTGAAACTGTTCTGGTGGGCTGGATTCCAATCAGTAGCCGGATGTGTGCGGTCCGACTGCCTGGCACGTTAAAAGCTTCGAAGTCATACGGGACTAACAGCTGTCTATTCGTCATCGCTGCCTATGTACCCACAAACTCCAGCGATGATTCGGTAAAAGATGACTTCGATCGGCAATTGAATGAGCTCCTTCGACACAGAAGAAGCTCGGACACTGTTGTACTGGCCGGGGATCTGAACGCTCAAGTTGGAAAATTATCCATTGATGAATTGCATCTGGGTGGTCAGCACGGTGTAGGCACCCGTAATGATAACGGTGAGCGGTTAATTCATTTGCGTGAAGATGCTCGCTTATTTCTTGTGAGCACAAATTTCCGACATAGCACCCACCGGAGGGTGTTTGGGCGCCCACCAGCCTCGAATAGGCTACGGACGCAAATCGATCACATTGCGATAAGTTACCGATGGAGAGGCTGCATCCAGAACTGTCGCTCGATTTGGAGCACATGTGTAAACACAGACCATGCACTTGTATGTGCTGATCAGCGGGTACGTTTTGGCGGACGTCCACAACGACCCTGTGAACGCATTGACACCAGCCAATTGGCAAAACCAGTTGTCCTGGATGCCCGCCAAAGTACGCTGTCATGCGAGTTAAGTAAGCGCTCACTGGATGCAGTTGAAGATCACTCGTCTCATGTTCACCAGTCTGTACTAGCAGCAGGAAAATCCTCGTGCGGCAAGTCTAATCGCCAACATGGACATTGGGTCTCATCGCAGTCTCTGGAACTTATAGATGCTCGCCGGCATATTCCGGCTAGAAGCAAACACAATGAAACTCGCAAACAGCTCCAGGCAAAACTCCGTGCTAGCCTGAGACCGCGAATCCTGGTGGTCTCATCGTGCTTCACAGATGGAAGTAGCCGCTGCCCTTGGTAATTATAGTAAACTATTCCGGCTGATACGGAAAACCGGCAGCAGAAGACCTGGTGTTATTGAAACTATACGTGACGAGAGTGCATAGCCTATCCACAACTTGTCAAAACGCCTGGAGCGTTGAGCTGAACACTTAGAAAGGCAATTAAATCGGTCGGAATTGTTAGATTTCGCACCGGCCACTGATTGCGTCGCTCTGTGAACTGTCCCTTTGGATCCACCTCTCGCTCAGAAGTCGAACATGAGATCGCAGTGTTAAAGTTAAATAAAGCCGCGGGACCAGGTGATCTACCTCCAGCCCTTTCCAAATTTGGGGGGCATGCTCTTGTGGATGATTTATACGAGTTACTAGTGAAACTGTGGAAGCGGGAAACTGTCGTAACCGACTGGAGCCGTTCCGTCATAGCCCAATTTTTAAGGGAGGCACACGATCAGAATGCGGCAACCATAGAGGAATCAGTCTGATCTCAAACGTCACCAAATTGCTTGCTTCTGTCATCCTTCACAGACTGACTGGCACTTGTGAAAGCCATATTCTTGAAAAAGCAAGCCGGGTTTCGTCGTGGTCGTGGCTGCATTGACCACATCTTCACTTTGAGTCAGTTGTTGGAGCACCGTCACACATATTGGCGGCCCCCGTTGTCGTGTTCGATATTACAGGTGCATTCGATTCGGTGGATAGACGTGCTTTTTGGCACTGTATACTCAGCAAAGGTGTACCTGAGAAAGATGTAAATATTATTCGAGGATTATACGCGCGCAGGTCAGGCAGAGTGAGAGTTTACGGTAAGCTGTCGTCGACCTTTAATATCTCCAGCGGTGTGAGACAAGGATGCCCGTTGTCACCTTTCCTCTTCAACTTCGCTATTGACGAAGTCAAGGAAATCGCGTTCACAGGACACGACTTAGGTGTGGATCTGCTCCCAGGAGAACGACTTCATGACTTGGAGTATGCTGACGATATTGTCCTAATCTGTGACAGCTCCCAGACGTGCCAAGTGGCAATGGACAGATTAGCTCTGATTGTCGGTCACTTTGGGCTTTGCTTCGCATCATGGAAGTGAAAAGCGTTCTCCTACGCTGACCCTAATGGGGACCAGCTAGAAGTCATGCAAAATTTCAAATATCTGGGAAGTTATATTAGCGCCCGTAGGATTGAAGATGAGATCACGAACCCTATAGAAAAAACTCGAAGCGCTTTTGCTAACCTTCGCCAACTATGACGCCGGCGCGACATCACTCTCCCTGAATGGTAGAGCGTACAACGCAGCCGTACGTTCGACCCTACTGTACGGTTGTGTAACCTGGCCTCTTAGATCAACGGACATAAAGAGGCTAGTTAGGTTTGACCACCGGTGCGTTCGAAATTTAGCTCATATCTGGTGGGAGCACCGAATAAGCAAGGATCGTGTTCGACACCTTGTTTACAACACAGAAAAAGGAAATGAACCGCTCAGCACCGTTATTTCACGCACCAGGCTCCGATGGTTCGGCCACGTGTTGCGCATGCCAGCCCACCGAATCCCGCGACGTGCGTTGTTTGCGCGCCGCGGGTGTGGATGGAAGATGAGGAGAGGTGGTCAAGCGATGACTTGGTCGAGAGGAATGAAGGCCCTCACTTCGAAGCTGGCCTCGGAGCTTCTCGGCTTCCTGGTTGGGGCCCGAAAGAGGATGAACACGTTTGGCTGGATACACTTGTTGATATGGCCAGGAGCCGACCTCAATGGCGTTCGTGCTGTGAGTTTCTTTGTCCCACCCCATCTCTCTTAGCCTTCCCCTAAGCACGATCTCACTATTTATCCTTATATAATTTTGCACAGTAAATTTTTTTGCTGCATAGTCGTCGGCTGGTAGCTTACCGGGACGATGTCCATCCATTACCGATAGCTCAGTTGGCTTGCACCTCTTGCATTTTCCCTTTTTTCTTTTGTGTATTGCGGCACAATAGCTGAGGTGTTTTCCATCTCTAGCTAATGTGTATAATAATGAATTATGAACAGAATCAAGTCAGCCGTAATCCAAATAGGTGAGTTTTCAAATCCAGTATCGCCACCACCGCCCAACTGGGCGTGATCAGTTTAGAACTCAAACGCTGATTCCCATTGACCTGCTTAAGTAGTGATTGCAAGGTACCAATACAATTAATACTGCCGTTGGTCGTTCGTGAACCACGCGTTGTAGGAGACGCCATGGATGTGTGGCAATCCATCAGAGAATGAGCTGGTGTGGCTTGGTTCTGAAGTGCAACCGAGTTGTAAGTGTGGGAAAATCGATTGTAACCAATCGGCTGTAAAAACTGATCAGCAGATCAGGAAAAGATGGAACGAAACAGTTTAACAAGGGAAACAGAAGAACGTATCCTCGCTAGCTCGGAAGTCTAATCGGTGTCATAAGCAGTAGAAGTAAGATGAAGTAGGTGATCATTACTGATGGAGGCGCAGCACGTGGGCCGGGGTTCCATGGGAGAGCGATCGGTGGAGGAAGAATGAACGAAAGAGCAGGCGAATATGTATTGGACAGTGTCTAAACAGTTATTGGAGGCTCGCTCAGTTGTGAAGCTCAATACAAGATGCGCACATGCCGTCCTGGTTGCAGGTTAATTCAACCTATCTGGTTTCTCACAGCGATCTGACAGATGACAGCAAATTGGGATGAACAAAATCAGACTGTATGGAGAAAGAAGAAAATCGATACGAGATATTGGGTAGCTTCTGATACAGCCAAGAGGATACCTATTGCACTAGATTTTGCTAAGAGCACCGACCTCGTCCCACATCGGCTTTCAGTAAATAGGAACGCATTTAGCACGATGAACATGTTTGACTGGATACACTTGTTGATATGGCAAGGAGCTGATTACAGTGGCGCTTGTGTTGTGAGTCTCTTTGTCTCTCTCCCCTTGCTTAGCCGCCCCCTCCAACCACGACTTCACTTACTAAGAGGAATGTAACTTTTTTGGGGCACAATGTCTGGTTGTTAGCTCACCAGGATGAGATCCATCCGTTACTAGTGACTCAGCCGGCGTGCCTCTGTTGTACATTTCTTTTTCTTTTCTTTGGTATTGCACCACAATAGCTGTGGCTTTTTTCGCCTCTAGCTAACATGCATAATGAGTGAATGAATGAAATAGGAAAGCAACTAAAGATGTGTGGCGTGAATCACATAGTTTTAGTATACCAGGAAAGTACCCGTGATTGGGAGAGATATTGCCCGTTAAATGTTCAGAAGGATAGCATGGCCAGATCAAACAAAAAGTGAGAAATAATTGGCGTTGAACGCTAACGAAATAACACGGAGGCCAATAAGCGTGAAAGCGGGATGCGTCACCAGAAGAGATAGAAGCAGGTGACCTTGTCTACGAAACGCAAAAAGCAGCTTACTGGATCAGTAGACCGGCAGTAGCGTAACGCCATTGACCATATTTAGGAAATGAGAAAAAGTAGTGAGGCAACAAGAGTTAGAGAAACCTCAGAAGCTACAAGAAATTAGTAAACAGAAGATACAGTAATTTAAAATCAGGACTTAGACTAACCGACGAAACCATGGTACACCCCACAGACGACGACTTTTTACGGCAAAGGATATAACATCCAACCATCGCCCACGAATTCGGGAGAATAAACCATGTGGGTTCCTTCGAAGTGTCCTTTTGAGTTCAGTGTTCTCATTCATCGAAATAAAGTCAATGGGGTGCTGAAAAGGCGTCCACAATAAAAAAGGGTCAGTTGACACCACCAATGGAACGCGTATGCTAAGCATTGTGGCCCGCAGAAAAAGGCATCAGTAGAACGCCGAAACGCAGTAACGACACTCTGCTGTCGCGCAACCAGCAACAGTCGTACGTGGCCTAAGGATACTGCGAGAGTCGCCCGGTCCCTACGCAGGCTGGAACTCGCGCACATGTATTACAAGGTAGCGCTGTGATCCGCCGAAGTTAGAGCGGCGGAAGTTAGTGCTCGCAAGAAATAAGCAAGTATCTTCACACAAATGAAATAACCGCTCACCATTTTCATTACAAGAGATTACACCAGATTGGCCACCCAGATGCAGTTAATTAGTGGACAATTTTCCAACTTGAGTGTTAAGATCCCCAGCAAGCACTACAGTGTCCGGGCTTCTAATGTGACGAAGCAGCTCGTTCAGTTAGTGATAGAGGTCGTCTTTCATTGAGTCAGCGCTACAAATTGTGGGGGCGTATGCAGCCATGACAAACAGAGATCTATACGCCTCGCGCAACTTCGAAGCTTTGAACGAGCCAGACAGTTGGACCGAACACTTCCGGCTACCGACTGGGATCCAATCCACTGGGGCAGTTTCAGCCTCGGGGACCCAGGACGACACTAACACCTGCTTCGCGGGCACTCAAAGCCTCATCCTCTCCAGATAAACGCAATGAGAAAGCATTGCTAGTATCACCTGAAGGGGATCGCAAAGCGAGTACAGAGCTCAACGCTTGCAGGTGGGTTACCGATAAGCGCCAGATTTCGGTAGAGAGGGTATATAATGTTCGGAAAAGTGCTACCCGTTGACCGATCTGTAACAATGTGGGTAGGTTGAGGTATGCCAATCCGAGGGAGGATCGAGTACTCCGAGTAGCAGCCGACAAACTGGACTTGTTTGCTCGAATGGACATGGGCGTGTCGATAAGGCAGGAGTGAGGCTCCGCGTCTGCATGTGAGTTGAAACTAGAAGATAAACGATTATCAAACCATGGTGGAGGAAGGTCAAGGATTGAAGGGTTAAAGATGGGTGGATAAAAGAGAAGTTGGAACAGGACAATAAGGGTGAAAAGGCACAAGAGGGGGAAAAAGAAGACAGAATGGCTTGAGCAGTAACATTCAAACTCCTATCCCTTCTGTTCGATGCAGTAGATAGGGTGCCGTTAATTATCCTCTGCGACGAAGAAATGATTTGAAGGGAAAGTCATTGTGCTGCATTACGTGAACAGGATACTGTCAGGTTGCTCAGACATAGGCAAGCGAACGTTTAGGGTTCTCAACCAAAGCCCTTGGTTCAAAAACCTGACCGCAAGACAGCAGGTTTGGCAATTGACTACAAGGAGTCTGTAGTGACCTGGAGATTCCGCCGCTTGATGTGTAAATCAATCCTAATTACTATGAAATCATAATTACTATATACTCCCTAGCTAGTCATCTTCAGATTTAGCAACCTGCTAATAAACCTTTTCCGAACTTACTTCAGTGTGTTCTGCCGCAGGCCTTTGGTTGGTCATTCAAATCTGAGGATCCCGTTAGACCAACGCGCTATAATTGTTGACACCCGGCTTATAATTGGTGAGTCTCTTAAAACTTTTCTTTTCAGATCCGGCCACATTTTTCGTCTACATTTCTAATTCTCCAGACTTTTATTTGGGGGTTTCCATTCTGCTGGCTCAGTAATTTCGCCATGAAGGTTATAAATCCAGATTCGAACGCTCTGGTTAGTACCGTTAGTCTCCCTATACCTCCTTTTCGCGAGATTAATCCGAAGGCCTGGTTCTCGCAGATAGAGTCGCAGTTCCCTTTACGTCGTATTAAGTCCGGTTACATTAAGTTCCACAACGTCGTAGCCGCGCTCTCTCCGCATGTTATTGACGACCACGATGACATTCTAGATCTACCCAAGGGTTAGCATGCTTATGAAACGATTACAGCCGCAGTTCTGAAGAGAACAGACTTGTCTGACCGACAAAGAGTAACAAAACTCTTAAGCGAAACGCAACTCGGTGATCTTAAGCCGTCTCAGTTGTTAAGAAAAATGCATAGCCTAGCAAAACCCACCTCTGTAGATGACGATTTTCTCAGGGAGATGTGGTTACAACTACTACCCCGGTGATGCCTCCGAGCATCTTGAGAGCTACTCCTACCAGGTTGGTCAATGGTGAGAGGTCAGACAAACTCAGTCTCCTGGTCCTCCAGGTTGGGGGTTTGAAATGGGATGGCGTCCATTTCTGTAAAACTAAATCACTGCCACCCCGCTGCCTTGCGGACAGGCTTTTGAGCCAAAGGCTTTGGATGAGGACCCTAATCGTTCTCCTGTCTAGGTCTGGGCGCCCTGGCAGTATCCCAGCCCACATACAACCATGACATTTTCTTCAAACATAAAATTCATCCTGCATCGGCCGTCGCGCAGATTATCAAGGGTCGCCTTATCTGCTGCATACAGCAGGGCGGATAAGCGAAAGCATGCTACTGCTGGCGCCTCCCTTCTTTCTTTTCCACCTTTTTCTCTTACTCCCATCCCGGCCCCCATTACTAACCTTCCTTCTATAACTCCCAGCTTAATTGACAGCAACCGAAGTGCTACTGGAGTAGTACCATCTGCAGCCACCATCCCACAGCACCTATCGGACGCCTATCGGCAAAAGTCCTTTATAAGACCACGCTGTCCCGTTTCCATGGCGACCTTCAACGTCCGCACTCTAAGACAAACAGGTCAGCAGGCTGCACTCGCACGCACCTTGGACACACTGGGTGTTGATGTGTGTTGTGCGTCCGAAACTAGGATTAATGACCCTAACGGGGTTATTGAATTGACTGCACCCGGCTTATCCTCTCGTTATTGGTTGCACGCATCCGGAGACGCCGATGCGGCACTCACGGGTCAAGCTGGTGTAGGTATCATTCTCAGCTCCATGGCTGAGTTATCGTTGGTTGATTGGATTCCGGTGAACAGTCGTTTATGTGCAGCCCGTTTGACGACATCAGCTAAGGTGAATTCGCGAAGTAAAACAAAACGCTGTTTGTTTGTGATTTCTGCCTATGTTCCCACCGACTGCAGTTCTAATGCAGTCAAGGACACTTTCTATCACGAACTGAACACGCTGCTACGCAGTGCTACTAGTTCAGATATTATAGTACTTGCAGGGGATATGAACGCACAAGTAGGGCGTCTGAGCTCTTCAGAAGCTCAGCTGGGTGGTAAGTATGGACTTAACGCCGAACGGACTGACAACGGCGAGCGTCTGCTGCAACTGTGTGCGGAGCACCAGTTGTTTCTTACTAGCACTGCTTTTAGACACAGTGGGTGCCGAAGTGCCACTTGGCGTCCACCTGTAGCTGGTCAGCGATGGACCCAAATTGACCACATAGCCATAAGTTACAGGTGGCGCGGTTCCATTCTGGATTGCCGCTCGTACTGGAGTACCTGTGTCGACTCTGACCATGCCTTGGTGCGCTGTCGTTTCTCCATGAACTTTAATGGAAGGCGCACAAAGCGTCTCCCCCGATTGGCAACGGAGAAATTGTCCCAGTCCTCTGTCAGGCAAGCCTATCAAGAAGCACTGCATAGCGAACTGTCGCCGTGTTGTCCTAATGACACTGAACTTCAGTGGAATAGGATCTCGGCCACTATGCACGACGCAGGAGCATCTGCTTGTGGCACTATCAGTCGTCATCGTACCAGTCACTGGATATCCGAGAGGTCCGTGAACCTTTTGGAAGCTAGAAGGTACCTCCCGGCTGGTTCTGAACACAATGTGACCAGACGGGCTATTAGGCGTGAACTAAAGCGGAGCCTACGTGCTGACAAGGAAGCCTGGTGGACCAGTCGGGCTCAAGAAATGGAGGAGGTAGGAGCAGTAGGCAATTACCGGAAGCTCTTCCAGCTAATACGCACCACTGGTCCGAGAAAACCAGGCGTCAGTGAGACAATCAGGGACAGCGCGGGTGCGCTGATACACAATAAGGAGCGCCGTATGGCTCGTTGGGCTGAGCACTTTGAACATCAGTTCAGCTGGCCCCCTGCTCCCGGACCTCTTCCTACTCAGGTGCTGCAGGACGAGCCATGGACGGTTAGTTTAGAGCCTCCGTCGGAGGCCGAAGTCCGAAACGCAATCACAGCCCTTAATCGTTTTCGTGCCGCCGGCCCGGATTCCCTACCACCTGCACTATTTAAGGATGGTGGTGAGGTCCTCTGCAAAGCACTGACCTCCCTATTCGAACGTATCTGGAACGAAGAGAGTGTGCCGGCTAATTGGAGCGAATCGATTATAGTGGCAATATACAAAAAGGGCAGTCGCACAGACTGTGCGAACCACAGGGGTATTAGCCTAACGCCAGTTGTGACAAAATTACTGGCCTCGATTATCGTTCGTCGCCTCACTGCAGAACGGGAATCTCGGATTAGAGAAGAGCAGGCCGGTTTTCGCCCAGGACGTGGCTGTATAGACCATATATTTACTTTGCGGCAGGTGCTAGAGCAGCGCCACGCATACCGCAGACCGACAATAGCTGTGTTCCTCGATTTCACGAGTGCGTTCGATTCAGTCGATCGATCGATTCTGTTCGAAATACTTGCGCGGAAAGGTGTTCCCACGAAATATGTGAACATCCTTCGTGCTCTATACTAGAACACTAGAGGCCGCGTCAGGGTCTATGGTGCCCTATCGGATAGCTTTTCGACTACAAGTGGCGTTCGACAGGGTTGCCCGATTTCCCCATTTTTGTTCAATTTCGTCGTGGATTCTATCATGGAGTGTTCCCTTGCAGAATCTCACGATGTAGGTGCTGAAGTGCTGCCTGGTGAACGGTTAGTTGATCTAGATTATGCGGACGATATCGTCTTGCTTTTCGACAATGTTGAGGCGGCACAACCAACCCTGAATAGCCTATCCAGAGTGGTTCCATTATTTGGTATGCACTTCGCACCTTCAAAGTGCAAAGTGTTGCTGCAGGACCACCAGCCACTCGATGA